ATATACCGCAGCCAGGGGCCCAAAGACACCAATGCATCCAACCACCATGACATCACAACTATGGCTCTAGGCAGATTTCCTGAGCCCTGAAAACCTAGGAGCATGGAGGGACCAGGCAAGCCAGTGGGGCCAGTTGGCACTTGGAAGGTCCCAAACAGATAGGAGTATTTTACCATAGTGAGAACAGCCCATCTAGCTGACCGCCCACAGAATCCTCGCCCTGTTGCTGCTCAGAGCATGGAGAAGAACAGACCCTAAGCTGGCGTGTCTGTGCTGAGACTATGGTCTTACAGCAGTGGGTTTTCTGAACAAAATGAGCTTCTTAAAACTCCCAGAGCTCTTGCCAAGGACCTCTGCAGGAGCCCGCAGTTGTGAAGTGGACAGGGCCTCCCCAGCCTTCCCTACCCACAGATTTGCTTCCCTTCTGGGAACACAATGGATGTTTCACCTCATCACTTCTGCTCTTTAGACCTGGAGACTGGCTTCAGCCAGGCCCCTACTCAGCAGCAAATTCCAGGCATCGTCCTCATTGCATCCTAACCCCAAAGAAAACAAGGCATCCTGCCCAGCAGCTGGCCCATGAAACATTAATCCCAATGGCTCTCCTCAAGGGTTCTCTGACCGGGGAAGGTATGCCGAACAGGAGCGATGGAAAAACCCTGGCGGGCCAGCCTGGGCCCGGCCATGCCACAGGCAGGGCCCCTGGCACCTGCTCCCCCAGTGCTTTTCCAACTGGCTCCTGCTCTTTGGTCCTCGGGATCCTGGGGACCAGTCAGGGAACCCCAACGAAGAGGAGAACCTCCCTGCATCTGTGAAGTCCTTTGGAGGTGCAAGGTTGTTGGGGTCAGGCAAGTGGCCACCTTGAGCCACCATACCCTTCCATTTGGTTCCTCTGTGAGCTGTCTGAACTCAGAGGTGGATGGCAAGGCAGCAGTGAGAGCCACGGTTGAGGAATGCTATCTCCACAGAAGTGGCCCTGCACTTGACCAGCTGGCTGGCTTTGGTCTACACTGCCTGGAAAAAGCAATGCTTCTCCCCATAGGCCTGTTGGTTGCTCTTAGGTGCCTGGAAAGAGGAATCTCATTGACCTGAGAGAAAGGGAACTATTACTAGGGATCTCAGACACCTGAACATCTTAAAATCCTAACACCTTGAGCATGATGCCTGGGCCCACATGACCATGTGAGTGTGTGTGTGTGTGTGTGTGAGAGAGAGAGAGAGAGATGCAACTTTGGGCTGACATGCATCCCAAACTCCAATATTCCCTACAAGATTAGGTAGCTCTGCTCCTCTGTGCCAGGATTCCTGGGAGCCTCATGCTAGGTGGAGTGACTGTGGAACCACAGTGTCTTGCTCCTATGAGTTTAATGGAAAGACGAATATTCTAGGATTCAGTGGCTGCTGGATTACATCTTGCTTCCTGGTTGGGCCAGGTGTGGGGAGCACCAGCTCCCAGGCTAGAGGAGCTATCTCCCAGGGAGAGTCCGCAGTCAGGACCCTAGGGGTGTCTGATGGAGGATGTGACCTGTGGTCAGCAGGGACTTGGCCAGAGGGGGCAACAGGACACTGCCCCCCTCCTCAGGCACCTGCAATATGCAGTCACCTGGATGCTCAGCAGCCTGTGGATGTGGGTTGAGCTCTAGAAGCTTGCAGGAAATGTGCTCTCTCCATGAAATCTGAGGCACGAAGCAGACAAGGCTCTCCTCCGTGCCAAGCTGGATAGAACACTCATAGCTAAGTCAGGGTGACCCCAGACATAAGGTGCCTATAATGCTGCGGCTGGGGTGGCCTTGGCCTTCAGGGCAACAGAAGCCTGAGTGTCTTATCCCTCACGGTTCAGCATTGTCTTCCCCCATCCCACACACTCTGGTAGGGGAGCAAACACATCAGTCATCTTACTCCCCAAGAAAGAAAGGGGTTGTCAGAAGTCAGAGGCAGTTGGGAGGCAGTAGGGCCAGTGCCAGGGGAACAGGCTCAGTATGAGGATATCAGGGTGTCTCAAGCCACACCACACCCCAGCAGCCCCCAGAATGAATGGACTCCCTCCTACTGCTGGAGGCCTCCCGGGTAGCTCTCTCTCTTTCTCTTTCTCTATCCCCATCCCTCCTTTCCTGCTCTCCTTCCACACTCTCAGGCAGAGGAGGTCTGGTCAGCCCAAAGCTAAACTGAGTAGGGGGTCACAGCATTAGGAGCCAGCCAGAACACAGAGTGGAAAGAGTCACACAGGACAGGCTGCACTCCAAGTTCTGCCAACAACCTATGGTGTGGCCTCAGGGAAAGCCCTTTGGCTGTGGACATCTCCACCGTTTCAGGATTGTGGAGAGATGAGAGGGAGCACAGATGAAGCACAGCACAGGACAGGGCTCACATATCAAAGGCCCCTGACGGAGCCCAGCTTCCTGACCACTTCTGCAGGCCCTGCCTCTTGGCTCCAGGCTTCTAGAACTCATAGTCTATCAATAGAAACGTCTTTCAAAAGATTTTCAGAAAACTGAGCTAAAAATATTACTGACTTATTGGTGAAAAATATTTTTAAATCCATGTAAATGTTTTCTGTTTTTGTTTTTTGTTTGTTTCATTTTGTTTTAGTAAGGTTTATTTATTTACTTGATAGGCAGAAAGAGATTTCATTTGCTGGCTTACTCCCCAGATGAATACCAAGGCTAGGGCTCAGGGAAGCCAAAACCAGGAGCCTAGAACTCCATGAGTGACAAGGGCCCAATCATTTGGTTCATCTTCTACTGCTTTTCCAGGTGCATTAGCAGGGAGCTGGGTTAGAAGCAGAGCAGCTGGGACTCTAACTAGTGTTCATAAGGCAGGAAGTTTAATCTGCTGTGCCATAATGCTATCCCTGTGTAGTTTCGTTATACTGTGCATTCTGCATGTGAAATTTTCACAAAAAATGCCTGGTACAAGAATGACTGCTGTGGAATGGAGTGGGAGGAGGAATAGAGGTTGAGGTGAGGTGCTTAGAGCCTCTGGTGGGGAATAAGAGGGTACTGTACCCAGTAGGATGGGACAGGAGTGGAGTAGGCAGACCCAAGGAGCCTCTTGGAGTTACTTTGCAGTGTATACTCTCTTGGCTGTCCCTCATTTATTTAAAGCTGCCCATCCTCAGGTTAGGAGTCACAGGAGTGGTTGGTATGAGCTGTGACAGCCATGGAGCCCAGCACACAGCTGCCCAGACCCAGTCCCTCTGTTCACCCACCCCTCAGCCGAGTCCTCCGTGAAACAGTGAAAGGAGGCCGAGATCATCCCTCTTTCAGGAGCAGTGCTGGGGGCGTGAGACCCTTCCTGACCAATCAATGTCCCCTGCTCAGCCCACACCCACAGTCACACCTGCCCCTGCAGCCTAGAGGCATCGCAACCTGGTGGTGGCTCTCAGAGCCTCCTTGTGGAGTGTGCTCCCTCAGAAAAAACAGCCCCAAGTGTGTGCTCCAAGGGAGAAAGAGAGGTCCGGGGGAAGGGAGGAAGTGGAGCTTGTAGTGTTAGGAACCCAGTGTCCCAGAGGCACGGGGGGTCACAGCTGGGAGCCAAAGGAACTGGGGAGCAGTACAGCCGGGTCACCCCTGTAGCTCTCCAGCCTTATCTTGTCCAGCCCTCCAACTTCTGCAGCCAGAGGTGGCTCTCATCACCTCGCGGGCGGTGGGGGTAGTCAGGACTCCCGCATCATCAACTGCCCCCAAACCTCCACAGTCTTCCACAGGGTTACCTTTGGGTGATGGGGAGGGACCCCACATCCCTGCACCTCTGAGACCAAGGGTCCCAAGAGCAGGAGAGCAGGCAGCGGCTCCGTTCAACCAGGACTGGTCTTCTCACATGCCCAGAACACCGTTGTAGGGCCCCAGTACCCAAGGGACAAAAACGACAGGAAGCATGTGGGACATGACAAGTCATTTTTTCTTTATTCTCTTAACATACATGAGATTCCAATTCCAGAGAGATGAGCATGCAGAGCAGACAGATGCAGGATTCTGCGTCACAGCAGCCAGAGCCAGCAGGGAATAGGCCTGCCCCTCTCCCCTCCCAAATGCCCCCCTACTCCACCTCTCCTGGCCCCTCGCCAGAGCCTAGGCAGAAACTGGGAAAGCTAGGAAGGAGGAGGGGGTCGGCCGCAAGGTGCAGGTAGCAGCCGGAGATGTGGCCTTCAATGTTGGGCCTGGCCAAACCATTATCTAGCTGTGGGCTCTTGGGCCTCAGATCCTTCTCTGTTCAATGGTTAGAAGTTCCTGCCGGGAAGAGGAGACATAAGGGTGCACCTGCTGCGAGCAGTGACTGCTGAGACCTGCTGGTCATCCACCTGCATCACAATTATCTCTCGGTTTTCATTGCCACTATGGCTCCTCCCTCCTCGGGCCAGCGGAGGAGCAAGTTTGAAAATCCCCCAGGAGCTGGTCAGGGCCAGGGGGTCAGGCTATCTTCAGCCTCTGGGTTGTGAGTAATTTTGTGGTTCCTTAATGACACATGCACCCACATCTCAAGGACCTGTGTCCACACTGGCAGGGGGAGTCAGAGACTTGCCAACCTTCAATCTGCAACTGCAAGCCCCGTTCAGGAAAGCCCCTGTCTGGGAAACAGGAGTCCCGGATCCCTAGACTGTGGATAGACTTGGCATTGAAGCCCACCTGCATGTGCTCATGGGCACATGCATGTGTGGATGCTGCTGTTGCTCCTTTGGGGGGTGGATAAGAGCAAGGGACCACACCAGTCTACACTACACCTCCTGGAGCCTGAAATGCATCTACACCAGCAGAATCCTAGAGAGGCTGGTCCTATGCCTGCCACTTTACAGGATGGAGTCACACAGCAAGAGTGAGGGAAGGGCCCTGTGACCAGGGCAGACTACAAGGGCAGTGCTTATCTGCATCCCCCCACCAGGCCAAAGCACCTGCTAGAATCTCTGCCCTCTCTCAGAACCTCTGGGGGATGCGAGATGCAGGTTAGGAAAGGGAGGGGCCACGTCCAAAGGCACATAGCTGCACCAGTGGAACTTCAGGCACCTGCAGCAGGTGAGCAGGATAAGGGGAACTGTCTGACAGCCCCCTTCCAGGTCATAAAAGCTGCACTCTGAGGGGCACAACTAGCAGGTAGGGTCTCTCTTTCATCTCTTCCATAATGTCAAGGAAGTAGGGGAATGGGCAAACCTTGGTCCTCAGGAAGCTCTGAGGCCAGGAAACAGAGAAAGAAAGTGATAGAGACACATCCCACCAAGGTGAGGCTTGGCCTCCCTCTACAGGCTGGGCCCATTTAGAGTTGGGAGTGCCTTTGTCCAGCTTGTCAGAGTGTCTGCAATGCGGATTTCAGCCCTTGCCCCCACCCCCCATGTCAGTGCCCCGGGGCCCCAGCCCCTCTATTTGGGTTTCATCTCCACCCTGGAGTTGATGTCATCTCCATCCAGGTCGTACTCCTCCACCTGGCCGCTGGTCCACGTCTTTATACGGTCCGTGAGGTCACTGCTGCGCGGTGCCAGGATGAAGTCGTAGATCAGCACGGCCAGAGCGCTTCCGATGAATGGCCCTACCCAGAAGATCTAGGAGCACAGCAGATGGTATCAGAGAGCACCCCCCACTCCCCATCCCTCAGACGGGTGGGAGAAGCATGATGTGAGGTGGGTTCAGGCTTGCTATGTGATGCCAACAATGTCTCCCACCCACTCACCTGCCAGACGCAGCCCCTCCAGGTGTCACTTACCCAGTGGTTATTGAAGTTGTGGGTGAGCACCGCAGAGCCGAAGGACCGAGCTGGGTTAATGCTGCAGCCTGTGTAGTCAATCTGGGGATTGGGCAGACAGAGAGAGGGAGGGAGAGATGAGAAAGGAATGGAGAGAACAGAGAAAGAGATGCAGGGGGTAGTGACAGGAGAGCCAGGTGAGAAAGAACGGGAGTTAGACCCAGGAAAGCTGGTCCCAAGTTCCCCTGGACCTTGTACCCCTGGGCTCAAGTTCCATGCAGTGTCCCACCTGTGGTCCAGGGCAAAGCTTTCTCCACCAGTCACCCTCCACCCCACCATGGGGAAGATCTCCCCTGGGCCCCAACACTCACTGCCAGCAGGTGTCCCAGGGCCACAGAGAGGCCGATGGCGAGGGGTGCTGAGCCGCCCAGGTCGCGGCGCCGGCGGTCAGTGGTAGCCAATACGCACAGCACCAACTGCAGGGTGCCGATGATCTCGATGCCCAGGCCCTGGCCCGAGTTCACACCAGGGGCCAGCTGTGGGGACAGAGCAATAAGGTCCCATGAGCATGGCAGGCTCAGGGCCTGTGTCCCAGGTCCCCTTGCTACCCAGGACCAGGTATTGGGGACCAGAGGCCTTCAGAGACCCTCCTTGGGCACACACAGAGCAGGTGACCACAGTCAGGCCTTGGCCTCACCCACATCTTGCTTGCTTGGCCTGGGGCACTGCTGCCCTATAGACAGATGCTCCATTCGGGGTCCCAGAGACCATAGACAAGGGATTAGCCCTGCCATGTGGGAGGCGATAGTTGCGAGACACTTGTGGGAGTTGGGGAGGAAGTGAAGGGGAAGGCCCAGCTGGGGACATTGCCTCCTACCCCAGAGTCTAAACCATTCCATCCCATCCCCTGTGGCACCCCAAAATTCCAAAGCTGTGGACAACCCTCTTCACTTAGCTCCCCCAGCTCCCTCTGTCTCTGTCTTCTTTGGGTCAGTACTTCCCCATCCCCTAACTGCTGCCTCCTCCACCTGCTGTCTCTTTTTCCTTTCCATGTCAGTTCTTTCCCATGGCCCTGCTTCTGTCTTGGTTTCTTTGTGTACTGCATCCACATTCCCCAACTCCCTGCCTCTCCTCTTTCCTTCCCTGCTTGCCTGGCTGCTCCTCCAGCCTCACATGGCCCCCTGCAGCTGCCACTGCCACCACCACCACACCACCGCTGTCTGGCTGCTGCTTGCTCCTGGACCACTTTCAGAAATGTGATTCATGGAAAAAGAGGGGCCGCCTGAGAGTTACCGTGAAGTCGCTGGAGTCCCGTGCCCCATAGCTGTCCCAGCAGGATCCCTCTCCAGGAAGCCCTGCTCCCTATTCCAAGTGGGAGTCCAGGAAGTAACTCCGCAACCCTGTACATCTACAGAGGCAAGATGGGCCACTTGGCAGAGCTCCACCTATGAAGACACCCAAGTGTGGCCATTGAGCTGCCTTCCTGCAGACAGGAGTGCCTCAGCAAGCCACGGCTCTATGTCCTGTCGTTTTGATCCAGAGGTTTGGGGGCAAAGGGGCTTTTTGCAAACTCCTAGGTGGGGTTACCCCCCCATCAGAGGTTTTCCCAGCTCCACCCTGAGACCATCTTAATAAGAACAATTCTCTTCCCGCCTTTGTCTGCTGCCCTGGGCTAAGGGAGTGACTCACATCCCCTCCCCTGTCTGCAAGCCTGGCTGGGTCCTTTCCTGACCAGTCCCAGAGATTCATCCCTTCAGGCCAGCCAGCCAGTGCCATTCCTCCGTACCCATCCCATGCCTTATTCTCTGCTGACCCTGTGGACTAGGTCCAACCCTCTCTGGGCCTCTGTTTTGCCATCTGGAAAGTGAACTGAATTGTCCGTGCCCACTGTCCAGAGCTCTGAGGAGTAAGGGGAGGGTTGCCGAAGAAGAGGCCAGGGTAGAGCCGCTGGCTCTTGTCCCGGTTCTTGCTCATGGCTCGTGCAGGAGTCAGGAACCCTTCCTGCTCAAAGGTGTGAAGATGCCTGGGAGGGCTGGGGCTGGAGCCCAGCAGCCTGCATACCTGGAAGGCCATGCCCATCTGCAGCCACAGGTTCAGAGCACTGGACTCCCTCTCCAGCATTCTCCTCTGCTCTCCAGGACTGGCTAATTGCTTGCTGGCCAGAGTCCTGAAACAGCTCCTCCTTGCTGATTAATGGAGCTGCTGCCCCAAGCAGCTCCTGCTCCAGGCTTTCCTTGCCTCACCCGTGCCCCTTGCAACTGTGGCCAGGGCTGACTCAGCTTCTCCGTTGGTCCTTGACCAGCTCTGAGGGCCCCCAACCCTTCCCTCTTCATGCAAAAGAGCAGAGTAGGGAGTCAGGATTCTGTGAACTCTGAGTCCTGAGGAAGGAGGGGGTCAGCCACCTGTCTTGGAGTTCTAATGTGCACCCCCATTTCCTCCTGATCGCCAAGAAACCTCAGGGACTGGAGACCTTCTTTTCTCACCCCCACCACCAGGAAGCACCCAAGTGTTTCACCATCTACTGCCCTCCAACGATGTAGACCTCTTCCTTATGCCTCACATTACTTACATCTGCATAAAGTCCATCAGAATCAGAGTGGATAACGAGGGCCTCTTGAAACTTGATGCCCACAAAAGAGCAGGTGAAAAATCCAAAACTTGGGCTACCCTGTTCTAACCATGGAGATTCAAGCAATTGTTGCAAGAGGGCGATTGCCCCTAATTGCAGTCACTCAGTACTGGGGGACAGACATGTTGCTCATTCTCTTGTGGTTTTAGCCAGCTCACTGAGTAAGTGGAGGCAAAAGTAACCCATAGTTCTGTGAATGCAAGCATAGGCTATAGAAGATATAGATATCCTCTGAAACATCAGAAATGACACAAAGTTCTCGTTTTGGGAACGAATCCATTTCAGCCATCTCAGCCCACCCCATCCGGAGGCTGGCAGCAGACCCTCCCTTCCCCCAGCTGTTCAATGCCTTCCAGCCTTCTCCTGCCTCCCCATATGTGCCTCACCTACTCCCAGCCTGGAATCTCCCTACCCAAGCCACAGCTGACCCAGGGAGGGCAGGCATGCTGGAGAGTGTGAACAGTGTGACTCCAGGAGAGTTGCCTGCACGCATGCCCATTTGTTCACCTGCTATCTGGGAGGTGATGCACCCAGCACTGGGCTCCAGGAATTTTCCAGGTAGCCTGTGCCAAGCCTGGATGTGACAGTGGATGAGGAGCCAACAGACAAGCCAGGACCTTGTCCTGGAGTCAGCACTGTCCCATACTCACAGGCCCATGTACTGGCCATGCTTAGGTCCAAACCAAGAGACCAGACTGTGCCACAACTGGCTGTCAGCATGTGCCAGGATTCAGGAGTGAGCTGCCTTGGAAAGGGGGGTCTGGACCCTCCATGCCACCATCCAGGACAGGCTATGCAAGGGAGTTTCCAAAGCACAGGATCCCTATCTTGGCCTGGACACCTGGCATCTACCCTTAAGGAGCAGTTGGCTTCAGAGTTGCGCCTGGCCAGGTCTCCAGGTACCAGTTTTCAAAGGACATGGGACAGGAGCCAACTAACTGCCCCAGTGCAGTGCCTCTGAGCCTCAGTCCCAAGCAGTGGGGGAGTTGGTGACCTGGTAGCCATGGCTGGCTATGCCTCTGCTCCTGGGATGAGAGTGGGGTGGGAGAGCATCGCCTGTGCTCATGAGTGACCCCCCCACTTCTTCTTTCTTCCTCTGATAGGTTAATTGCATAATCATGAAACACAAAACCTGCTCAGGAGTGACAAAACTTTCTAACCTGTACACACCAAACTATAGCAACCCTCCGATGGGCAGGATCCAGGGAGTTAGATCCAGCCACTATCAGGGAGATGTCACCCTCTGCACCCTGTCCTAGAGTGCTGGGGTCTGGCTGCTCTGCTTGCAATCTAGCTCCCTGCTGAAGCATCTGGGAAGACAATAAAGGGCATCCTAAGGAATCTGGCTTTTTCCACCACGGACAGAGCTCCTAACTCCTGCCTTTCGCCTGGCCAAGCCCTGGCTTCTGCAACCATTGAAGATCTCTTTCAGGAAAACGGGAAACACACCACACTCCTAACTTACAGAATATACACTTCACTTGCTTCAGTCTCATCAGGCACCTTCCCAGCTGGAGCTGAGCACGGCCATCACACTGGCCACCATCACACTTTGGATGCCATTTCCTACCCATGCGGGCTCTGTGGGCTTGGGTTCTCTGCCTGCCCTGCTGCCCTGAGAGGTTCGGTGAGTGTGGTGGGTGGCATTAACAAGTGTGTGGCCACATCCCTGAGAGTCCCACACTCACACAGGTGGCCCCTCCCCACCCTCACCGCCGCCACAGGAAAACAGTGGCCTCAAAGGCCATCATTCACTCCCAAAAGCCTCTGGGCCTTCCTGCTAAAAAAAACAATGCACAAAGCAGGGGCTTCCTCTCTCCCTCCTCTTTCCCTCCCTCTCTCCAGCTTTTCCTTGCTTTAAGGCAAGGAAAGGAAGGGACTTCCCCCAGCAACTCGACCCCTCTCCTGGGAATAAGCAGCCCCTCTGTCTCTGGGGAGAGGACCTCATAGAGGGATCCAGGAACAATGTTCTCCTGCCCCCTCCCATCCCCCGCAGGTCCAAGGGTTCAGATCCCTGCCTTTCTGGATAGCGCATACTCATCATACATTGAAGACTGCAGTGCTCAGGGAAGCTCTGCCAACAAGAACCAAGGGCTCCCTGGAGGAGGTGGGAGCAAGGAGTAAGGGCCTGGAGGGCTTGGCACCCTCAGGGTGGGAGTGCAACCTGAGGCAGCCGGGGCTGCCCCTAGGGCTCCCACAGGGGAAGCAGCAGCTGGGTTTTCCGTGGTGGTTGGCAGGGGAGGGCTCCACCGCAAGGCTCCAGCTTCCGTGTTCTTCCCCACTGTTGAGAGCAGTAATTACAGGTCCCGGAGGTGGCACCACCACCCAGCCCCCTCCCTGGGCAGGGTCTTCGGAAACTCTGGCTTCATTTTCCCCCACCCACTTCCGAGCTTAGGAGGAGATGCCAAGGGCTTCTGCATCTGAGGATGGGGAACCTGAGGGCACAGAAGCCTGGCAGAGGAGGAAGCCAGGGCCCACCCCCTGCCCCCAGTGCAGCAGTTAGAAGTGTTTCCTAAGCAGTCCCACCCTGGAGAAGACCCCAGGGAGGGCCTGGGGACCCTCAACAGGAACCTGAAGTAAGGGGCTCTGGACGGAAACCCTGAGACCACACCATCCCTCTGGGTCCCCTCCCCCTACCTGTCAGTGCCTCCTGGGATCCCAGCCCCTAGGTTCCTGTTCCCACAGGTTCTCTGAAGGGGAAATCCCTTCCTTCTCTTGGGGACGTCCCCTCCGGTGCCAGGTTCCCATGGCACCTCCACCTCAAGCCCTCCCGCCTTTCCTAGGCCAGCCCTGGACACCTCTGACCACTCCCGCCCCACAGCTGTGCACAGGGCTTATCTCACAGAGGGCCCGCAGGCTTCCCAGGGCTGGGAGCTGGGCTGGCCCCACCCTGCACTTGGCAGGCAGCAGCTCCAGTCTCGTTCTTAGGGAGTCAGCAAGAGTGGGTCCGAGAGGGGAAGTAGGAAAACGGCCGCTGGCCAGTGCCAAGACTGCAGAGGCTCGCCACTACCTCCCCAGAGCAGGTTACACTATTCTCTGTCCCTTGGTCACCCAGGTCAGGGCAGTTGTGTGAAGTCTCATAGTGGGTCAGTGGCTGGTGCCCACCCCAGTCTCAGCATCTTGCATCCTCAGCCATAACTAGGGGGGCTAAGATGGCGGGGTTGCAGGGCCGTGGTCTCTCTGGGGTGTGGCTGAGTGCTGACTCACTCAGGAGAAAGTTGTCCCCACTGTGTGTCCCAGGGGACACCCCCTGACTCACCCCAACCACTTCCTGCCACTTCTTTCCCTATTTTCCTTGGAAATCTCCATGCCAACGATGCCCCACCCAAATTTTGGCCAGGGTGCGGCCCCGAGTCCGAGGGGGCTGCGGGAGCCTTCCCCTGGGGCTGGAGGAAAATGTATATTGGCAGGCCCCCCCCCACCAAGCCCTTCCAGATCCCACAGCCAGGGTGTGACAGGTGGCCTGTGTTGGGGAGGGCACCTCTTCTCTGTCACTGAGCTCCGAACTCCCACCTTCAACTGTCTGCACACACAGCAGTACTTGAACCCCCAGCTAGCATGCTTGGTGCCTGGCTGCTGTGGGCTCCTCTAGGCCCAACCCTCTCAGGGAGGACAATAAACCCAAGCCCCAGACAGCACAGTGAGCAAGCAGTGTGGGCACAGCCAGATGTGACACCAGCCCTGGTAACCCCGTAAGATCCATGGTCACTCAGAGAGCTAGCAGCAGACTGGCTACTGGCCTGGTGTGAGGAGGCCAGAAAGGAGCTGAGACTCCTAAACAGGGTGGGGTCAGAGCAGATACAAACCAGGGAGAACTGACCCCCTCCCCTGACTCCACCCTGCCTCTGCCCGGAGAGCCACACTGGAAAGTGAAATTTCCCAGTACTGACTGGTACATAGTCCCTTCCTGTCATCTCCTGAGATGAAAAGCACAAGAGGAAAGCAGGAGTCGGAGTCTCCACTCCTGTTCTGGGGGGGAGGGGGGGAACCTTGCTCAGCCATGCCTTGGTCTGAACTTGACCCTACCTAGCAAGACCCTACCACCACCATTAAAGTCACTCAGCACTGCCTTCACAGGTGAGATGGAGCTGGGAGGGACATGGCTTGCCTGAGCTCTACCCCAACATCCTCTGCGGTCACGTCTTCCCCCGGCTAAAGTCTAAACTCCAGCCACAGGGCTAATCTTCAATCCTGGGCTGAACACAGGTTGGCTCTGAAAAGGGCTGGGCGAGGGAAGTGTCAGCGTGACAGTAGAAGTGCTAATCCCACGGTGGCAGGGTCCGGCCAGCTGCCCTCTGCACCAGTCCCTCCTTCCCTCAGCGCCAGGGCCACCATCACCAGTACATGAACTTTGCCTGAGAAGCATGCAGACTCTAATCCTCAACAGCCATCCTTACAAGGAGCCCCGACCAGCTGCCTTCTTGTCGCCAAACTGCCCATCCTGCTCGGCTCATTTCTGTGGATCCAGAACCACCTGTCTGTTCTCTAAACCTGCCTGCCAGTCCCTTGAGTCCTCTGAGACATCCACTAGGCCAATGTGCAGCCACTTAAGCCAGATGGCCCCTTGCCGTGCCCGGGCACTCAGCCGAGGAACTGCAAAAACTCCAGGTCTGCAACCATGGGCAGCTGCCACCAACAACCATGCGGCCGTGCTGAGCAAGCCATCGGGGAGCAGTCCCACAATGCTGTTGCCAAGGTCTGTCTGCCATTCAACCGTGGCCCAAGACCCCTCACTGCACACACACACACACACACACACACACACACACACGTGCACGCGCTTGAATGTGCTCCCATGGGCTCAGAGACCACGCCAGGCAACAACTGCACACGCACCTTCACATACTCAAACACACCCGAGATGGTGACGCTCGGCTCTTGCCAGGGTCCAGGGAAGTAGCCTCCAGGCAGCGCGCGGGAGAACGTGCCCCGCTCCCTTATCTTTTGTCCAGGTCCCCAGCAGGACCGTGGGAGGGGCCTGTTTCCCTGGGACAGGGGCCAGTCAAGTTAAAGACCTGCATGAATACAGGTTTGGGGGGTGGGGAGCACCTGGAGGCTCCCCTAGGGACTCTTGCTCTCCCATTTACAGGTGTCTGGCTCAGCATGGCTGGCTGGGGACTGCAGGCAGAGTTTGCCTGATGGGGGTTGGGGAGGACTCCAGAGGATGAAGCTGGCTGCCCAGGCGGGGTGGAGGAGGGCCAAGAAACTACAGCCCCAGGGTGTGGAACTGCTGGCCCAGTGAGCGGCTTCCAGAGCTAATTCCCCCTCCGCAGATGCCCTGTGGGGGGACATTGGCACGGCCACCAGCCTATAAGGTTCCCACAGTGCCTGGCAGCCTACAGGTCCCAGGAAAGCAGGTGGGATGGGGGCTGCAGGCGCAGCTGAGCTCTAGCCCCTGCTCTTTCTATGACCTTCAGCAACCTCTGGTCCTCTTGTGTCTCAGTGTCCCCATCTGCACAATGGGCAGGAGGATGGCACCATGGCCCTGTCTGCTAGATGTCTGTTCCCACACCCTCCCCCTACCCTGGGGCCTGGGTTCCCCACCACTCACATCATTGCGGCCCAGCGAGTTATCAGGCAGGGAGGAGGTGACGCCAGAGAGGATGGCAGTGGCGACGATGGCGCCCACGCACTGGGCCACGATGTACAGCACGGCCCGAAGGATGCTAATCTGGCAGCTGAGGAGCAACCCGAGTGTGACAGCTGGGTTGAGGTGGGCGCCGCTGATGTGGCCCACACTCTGGGCCAGCGTGGCGATGCTCAGGCCAAAGGCCAGCGAAACCTTCACGTTGTCCTGCACAGCCGTCTGGTTGCTGCCCACCGGGTACTGGAAGCCCAGGGCAGTGCCGATGCTGATGAAGACGAAGAGGATCATGGCCAGAAACTCAGCCACCACCGCCCTCCAGAAGATCTTCTTCTTAAACTCGCTGGCCATGTTGGCTGGGGGCTTGGTGGGCCGTGGCGTGAGGAGACTAACTGCCTGGGGCTCCAGTGTAGTAAGCTTCAGCCACAGCCTGAGCTGGGCCTATTTATAGGGCTAGGGGGGTGTGGGGGTGTGGACAGGGGGGCGGGGAGCACAAAGAGAGGAAAGGCCTCCCCTTGCTGCCGGCCCGCCCTGCACCCGCACGGCCTCCTCTGGGGAGCTCTGGGGAGCGATGCCGCCGCTGTTCTGCTGTCTGCCTGCCAACTTTTTTCCTTCCTCCTCTCCCCCTCCCTCTTTCCCTCCCTCCTTCCCTCCCTCTCTCCGCCCTCTGCCCTGCCCAGCCTGAGGAGGCAGGCAGGAGGCCACCGTGGCCGCTCTAATAGGCTTTGGGAAATTCCTCCAAGCTGGCCCCTCTCAGGGGGCCTACAGAGAGCCAGGTGTCCCAGGACTGAGTGTAGAACTTGGGGTGTGCCCCAGGTATGGATAGGGAGACAGGAGGTGTGCATGGCCAAGCGCCCTGCAGCTGGACACCATCTTCCTGCAGGTGATGCCAGGAGCCTGCCCTTCCTAGAATCCCCAATCCCACCCTAGATCCACTTCTGATCATTCCAGGGGTGACCCCAGGCCCGCCAGCCTCCAATAAGATGGGAGGGGGAAGGAACTTGCTAGGGCCGCTCTAACTCCTGGAGAGCAATTAGAACTAAGGCCGTGAGGGCAGTGGGACTGACATGAGGCTGGTTTTTGGACTTGGTTGCTGGTCACTGGGGAGATGAAAGGAGTAGCAGCTCAATCCATTCCTTAGATGCCAGAAAGGAGAGGAAGGGAGAGACCTAGGCAGATGGCAGGGGGAGGGTAGGCAGGACTGGCGATGCAGAGGGAAGGAGGAGAGAGCACTCCAGTCCCAGGCAGCAGGGAGACAGCCAGAGAGGAGACCAAGTACTAAGGTGAGGACCTGCTGGACTCACAGCCATGCAGCAGAACGCCAAGGTCAGGGTCAGAGATGACACCTGCAAGGCAGGGAGGGGCTATTACAGCCACAGCGCAGCAATCAGACTGGAAGTGAGAGTGGGTAGCTCCCTCCTCCCCCCTAGCACGACCTGCTTGCCTGCACTGGAGGGCGATCAGAGCAGGGCGTTGGATGAACTAGGCAGTTGTCCGGCTGGTCACCGCCTTCCCCATGGCCCTCCTGCCTGATCATGCTGACTCCTCCCCATTCTGGGAGGGCAGGGACGCCTCTGAAATCTGCATGGGCTGGGAAGGGAGCAGGGATGAGCACTTGGGCTGTGGGCTCCAGCTCAGGGACACCCTGTGGCACTGACCTGGCCTTTGGGAGCTGCACCGAGCCACTGGGCAGGAAGCACATTGCCTGCTAGCACGGAGTGGCCCTCCGGGCAGGTTGTCACCCTGGTGGCCAGTGGCCCTGTCTGTTTGGGAGCCCCTGAAGGAAATGGAAGTCATTGGTACTTTATTAACCAGTACAGAGGGGGAGGGAGTCAGCCCCTGGCTGCTTCCCAGAACCTCCTCCACGCCCCCCGTTGTGGATGGCCTTGGAGGCTCCCATGGGTGCCCTGCCCCTATGGGGTAGTTTCCAAGACCCTCTGGTAAGAGGTCAGGTCACAGAACTGGGATTCTGCACGCGGAGGTCAAAGGCCAGACCCCTAGCACCCCCAGCCACCCACATGCAATGCGGGACTTGTACTCTGTTCCCTTCCTCCCTTGGCTTCCTGGCCATGGGCAGAGCCCATATCTGTCCTGCCCTCCCTACTGCTCATCCAGGGCTGAGCTCTGACAGTGGCAGGTGCTGGCATTTAGCCAGAGAACAATGCCAGGGTGGGGGCATGGACTTCAAGCTGGTGCTGGCAGACTTGGGACCGGGAACCTATGTAGACCTGTATCTCCCTAAGGGTTCCTGACCATGACTACAGGCCAGGCTGGGGTCTGGGTGTCTGTAGTCCTTGTAGCACAGACTGTGTGACATATATGAGGGTGACAGCCCCACCTAACAGGTGCCAAGTGGTATCCTGGGTGCTGGAGGACCATGATGGCCCACACAGACCAGCATCCTGTCCTTACTGAGCTTGGGGCATTTGCAGGGGCCAGCTGTAACTATGGATTGTGTGCATGTACTGCAAATGTGTTCTTGACAGGTGCAGCAGGAGGAACAAGGTGGGCAAAGCAGACCCATTCAGGATCCCCATCTCAGATCCTCAGAGTGATACCAAATGCCTCCTCTCCCCACTCTTAACCCCTACATGCTTTGCCCACATGACCTCTCTTCTGCAGAGTGGCTGCTGCGACTCCCACCATTTGGTAGCAGGCACTCCCCTCACCAGGAAGAGCCATCCCAATGCTGGAGGTACGGATGTGCAAATGCAGACCCCAGCACCTCCTCCGTGACGCAAAGAGGTCTCTGTGGCCACAACCTGACCATTTGGGTGGGAAACATGAAGGGTTTGCCCCTGGAAACCGAGGATCAGGAAGACCCCAGGCCTCCTCCTTGTCTGCCACCATCGCCACCTCTTCCCTGGTGTGTAAGACATCCAGGCTTAGTCAGAAAAGGGTGAAGGTAATGGTGGCTGGCCAGTGTCTTTCAGGGCTGTGAGCCTTTCCCCAAACCTGCAAGGTTCATGCCCATCCCTGGCACAGGCTTTGAGATGGTCTGAGATGGTCTGAGATGGTCTCTCCTGCTTGCTAGAAAGGGCTCCAGTGGCCAGAAACCCTCATGCTGTTGGCCCCTGGCCCAAGAACAGGAGCTGGAGGTGGCAGGTCTCAGGGGGCGTCAGGGTGGGTGAGCAGTGGAAGTAAGAAGGATAACTCCAGCTTCTCCACAAACGGGTGGGTCAGGGAACACAGGGACTAAGGGTAGATGGGAGAACAGCCAGAGCCACCCTGTAGTCGCCGCCTGCCCCACAGTGCACCTGCTATCCCTTAGCCCTCTGTCAGCTCTGCGTCTCTCCCAGGGACCATGATCTCCCCGGATCTCACAGGCCTAATCCTGGCTAAATCAAGACCTGGGCAGGGCTTGAGGCCGGTCGTCTTGGTGGCAAATGCTTTTCCAGATGTGCCTCTTTCCCATGTGCCCAGCAAACCCTGGGAGACTGGTGTTCTGGCCAGAGCCAATGTTCCCAGGATGACCTGGGGCTGTTTCCCCAGGCAGCCCATGAAGAGCCTGGGATTTTCTCCAGAGGTGGGTGGGCAGAGCCCAGGAGGCAGGCTAAGGGTCTGGATCAGGACCGTGTGCAGAGATGATGCCCACAGGTGCAGCTGTATCTCTAGCTAACCAGAAACTTCTATGGTGTACATAGCAAAAAGGGTGGGAGTATGGGTTGCAGGGGCAGCAGAGGGGTGAGGAGGTGGGATGGGGACCCTCTCTGGGCCAAGTCCACAGGTAGAGTGGCAGGAAACTGTGACCTTATCCCCCTGGGTAGGAGAGGACAGACCATGGTACAGCATACACTGTGTAGGGGCCTGGGTGGCTTTTCCAAAACTGCTCAACTTTTCTGAACCACAGCTTGGGGGTTGAGGCGGGAGAAGAGGGCAGCACAATGCCCATCTCATCCTGTCAAGGGGGTGGACTTTAGAAAACGCTGGGCCTCTGCCCTGTCCCTCTCCTAATGCCTACCCCCTGAAACCTAGGTACTGCCTCATAGAGGCGACACATGATCCCTCTCAAATCAAAAACGGATTTAGGGGCTGCTAGGAACGGTCATTTTCTGGGCCACTGAGTCCCCGGCCCCTTCTCTCTGCCTGCCCCAGCCCCACCTGCCTGAGCTACAGAGCCAGGCCCACTTGTCCTCCAGATGAGCTGGACAAGGTTCCATGTATGCCTGGTGAGGAGCTCTCTAAGCCATGGGCCCAGCCCGGGTCCCTGGAGACAAGACAGGGCAGGTGAGTGGGGTGCCATCAGTTCAAGGGCCTTGGGCACCACATCCAAGGCTGGAGGCAGTTTCTATTCTCTGGCTTGGTGCAGTCCTTAGGCCTGCTGAGGCCACCCCAGGGAGAAAGGGGTGCCTTCCCCATTACCTCCCATCCCTGCTCCCAGCTCAGAGGGAGCTCTCCTTAGAGGTGTGTGGTCATCTCTTCCAGGCCTGCCCTCATTTGGATGTCCTCATTCTGTACCTGGCTTAGTGGGAAAGGCTCCTAGTGGGGCTGTGGGAAGCAAGCATGGAGGTCCAGGTCTCAGGTCCTTTCCAGCCTTGGGCTTCTGCTGGCCACACCTAGCCTCTTCCTCTGACCTTGCTGCCCAATGAGAGGCCAGCTCCTCCTGGGAGGCACTTTCCCTTCTGTAGGCTGTCTCTCCTTGACAGTCCAGTGTCAGGTGGGGATGCTAGGCTTCCACATAGCAGGGAGAGGCAGGGTCCTCCATGGAGTCAGGTTCATTCTTTTTTACCTCCTTGTTTTCCTGACACTGGGGGTGGGAGAAGGGATGGGCAGTGCCAATCTTGCCTCAGCCCCGTGGCCCCCTCTCACCTGCGTTACATGCAGCCAGCCTTCTGGAGCCCATGGGGCCCCAGCAGCGGGGCTGCCATTTTCCTAATGAGAAGATGATGATCTGGTCTGGCCCGCTGCATGGCCCTGCTCTGGGTGACTACTGATGCCTCTGAGGGGCCAAGGCTGGAGGACTTGGGGTTGGCCCCAACCCAGGCCCCAGAAAGTTGATAACTATGCATGAGGGCAGCAGTCCAGGGCAGGCCCCTGAGTGCTCTGTGGGGCCAGAGCCCTGCTTGTGGCCCTGTGCAGTGCCAGCCAGAAGAGAGCTACCAGCCAAGCCTGCATCATACATGACCTCATCTCCTGCCTGTCCCCACCCTGCAGGGAGGTGGTCAGAGGAGAGTCAGGTCTTGAGTTTCCAGGCTGATGGGAGCCCCAGATGTTGTGGCGGCCAGAGAATCACCCAGGCAAGGGTAGGAGTAGGACTGATGGGTCAAGGCAGGAACAATCAGAGATGCCCTCCTGGAGAAGGCAAGGATTGGAGTGACAGAATCTCGGGATGTGACAGGATCACAGCGACTGCTTAAAATCCTAGTTATCAGGAGCTGGTGCTGCATGTTAAACCACTGCTTACAACCAGTATCTAAGCAGCAGCTTAAGTCCCAGCTGCTCTGCTTCTGTTTCAGCTCCCTGCCAATGTCTCTGGAAAGGCAGT